AAATGATATGCATATTGTGGGGATGTGTGCAACACCACGTGATTACAGAGCCGTAAAACTCGTTAGCTCCAACTAGTGGCCGATTTCTTTCAAAACTCTTACAGACCTCTTGGGCCATGAGTCGAACATGCCCATCGAGTTTCGTTCCGATCGGCCTTCGTTAACCTTGTCTAATAGGTGCTCAAATTCATTGGCCAATGGCGGCCATGTTTTTTGAGTTACGCCAATTTCCTCATATACATACATGGGGCCTTGGACCAAGACACTGCATACCAATTTTCAAGTCAATCGGACTAACGGTCAGGTGGTCATAGCCCTTTTTATGTTTTTTTAATGTTATAGCGCCAACTAGTGTTCGATCGTCGCGATCTTTTTACTGTGACCTCAGACTGTCCTCATACACATGTCTCTTGAGTTTGGTGAAGATATCTCATTTACTTTTCGAGTTATAGCCATTTTAGTAAAATAGGCTCCTCCCACAACAATCATTTTACTCCCCCTAGCGACCGTGAATCGAAAATTCAACTTTTTTTCAATAATTATTGATATTCAGACTCCAGAGAACATGTATGCATTTTTTTTATTTTGATCGGGCGAAAAACCAGGGACTAGTTCGCAAAATTAGGTTTTTGACAAAATTCAAAATGGCGGAAAAATTTGCATACCGGAAATGAAATCGGAGATATACGTTTTTTACTTCAGGCCTCCAGCTTTCCAATGATATAAGACACTTGAGTCTACGACATACGGTTTAGGAGTTATGAGCGGTTTTGCGCAATTGATCGCTGTAGCGCCACCTATAGGCCAATCGGGCTCATACTTTGATAACCTCTCCTCGATTTTTGTACTACCATCTGACAAAGTTTCAACTCTCCAGCACTTACGGTTTGGGCTGCACGATGCGTTTTACAGGAGAATAATAATAATAATAATAATAATTAAAGCTGCAAGCAGCATTTAGCGGTGTTCAAGCAGTTAAGGCCTTTAAGGCCGTTAAGCACAAAAGCATCAAAAGACATTAAGTTGTATTTAGCAAGCATTTAACCATTGACATCATAGATGGAATAGACCATGTTTTAGCATGATTTACCATGATATACCAAATTTAGTGTGATTTTTCATGATCTACCATGTTCCAGTATGATTTACCATGAATCTAGCATGATTTACCACAGTTTACCATGATTTACCATGTTATAGGATGATTTACCATGATATACCACATTCTAGAATGATTTACCAGGATTGTAGCATGATTTACCATGATTCATCACATTGCTAGCATGATTTGCCATGATACACCATGTAATAGTATTTTTTACTATGATTTACCATGTTTCTATCGTGATTTACCATGATTTACCACATTGCTGCATTGATGTGAAGTGCCAATAAAAATGAAGTGATAAACTCTGACAAAAAAGGATTGTGTTATAATAGTTAACATGGAAAAACTGGTTTGCTTTAGTGCTTTGATTTACTGTTGAAAATCAAGTGTCAAAATGAGAGTGAGCCAATAAGTGGTCTTCTACTGCCCTCTGCTGGCCATTCTACTTATTAATAAAGTGTTTTCACAGGTGCTTTTGCACTCATATGTAGACATTTGCTCACACACACACACACACACACACACACACACACACACACACACACACACACAAAGTCATTATGAAAATATATTTTAATGGTCTATAAGCATTTAATGTCTTTGCAAGCTATTAATCAGATTATTCAGAATTTATTCAGAAACATGGGACTACACACACACACACACACATTCTATTGTAGATTAAACTGTCTCATTCAGGGTTCACATTTGTCAATGTGACAATGAATTTGGACTAAATGTGATTGTAAATGTTAAAATAGTGATTATGTTAATTCTAAAAATGAATTATAGAACAATGATAGTCAGCATTATGACAAAATTACTATTTTAAACAGCAGGGGGCAGTAAAACACCACTTATTGGCTTAATATGCCACTATATTCATATCATTTTCACCTTTTTAACTGTTATAGAGGCAAATTTTGTCCGATCTGTCTAAAATTGGTCAAGCTTGTTTAGAGTGATATGTCCTGACCTTTTTTTAAGAAGATCTGAGCATTCATTGAAGAGATATAGGTTTTTGGGGACATTTGGTCAAGGCTACATATTGAAGTGACCCTATTATAGCCATCCAAATTAAGAAGTTATACCTTTTCTGATCATTATTGATCTAGAGAGTCCAGAGAATTGTACTGCACTGGTTTTAAACATTATGATATGAAAAGTATACGATCATAGATGGAAAAGACAATTTACAGCCAATACAGGCAATTTACCATAGGAAATATATGGTTTTAAAGCTTTTTAACAGTTATAGCGCCACCTATGGTCCGATCTCCATGAAACTTTGCATGCTTCCTCAACATGGTATGACACATATGCTCATCAATTTTTGTCAAGTTCTGAGTTTTCATTTATGATTTATAGGCTTTTGAGTGTATTTTGACACGCCCGTTTTCTAAATGACCCTGTTACAGTGAACCAAAGGGCAAAGTTCAACTTTTTTTTGATAATTATTGATCTAGAGAGTCCAGAGAATTGTCCTAGACTGGTCTGGTTTTGATCGGGCGAAAAACCAGGGACTAGTTCGCAAAAGTAGGTTTTTAACATATTCGTGAATATTTAATGAACGATTTGATTGACAGCAATGGTTCTAGAGGCAAAGTTGTTCACCATGAGGAGATCTATCAAATGATATACATTTTGGGGGGATGTGTGCAACACCACGTGATTACAGAGCCGTAAAACTCGTTAGCGCCAACTAGTGGCCGATTTCTTTCAAAACTCTTACAGACCTCTTAGGCCATGAGTCGAACATGCCCATCGAGTTTCGTTCCGATTGGCCTCCGTTAACCTCGTCTCATAGGGGCTCAAACTTCATTGGTCGATGGCGGCCATGTTTTTTGAGATACGCCAATGTCCTCATAGACATACATGGGGCCTTGGACCAAGACACTGCATACCAATTTTCAAGTCAATCGGACTAACGGTCAGTCCTTTATATGTTTTTTTCATGTTATAGCGCCACCTAGTGTTCGATCGTCGCGATTGTTTTAGTGTGACCTCAGATTGAAGTCATGCACACGTGTACCAAGTTTGGTGAACCTACCTAATTTACTTCTGGAGTTATAGCCATTTTAGTAAAATAGGCTCCTCCCACAACGTTCATTTTGCGCCCCCTAGCAACCGCAAATCAAAATTTCAACTTTTTTTTGATAATTATTGATATTCAGACTCCAGAGAACATTTCTGCACTGGTTTGGTTCCGATCGGGCGAAAAACCAGGGACTAGTTCGCAAAAGTAGGTTTTTGACAAAATTCAAAATGGCGGAAAAATTTGCATACCGGAAATGAAATCGGAGATATACGTTTTTTAAGTCAAGAGTCCAGCTTTCCAATGATATAAGACACTTGAGTCTACGCCTTACGGTTTAGGAGTTATGAGCAGTTACGCGCAATTGATTGCTGTAGCGCCACCTATGGGCCAATCGGGCTCATACTTTGATAACCTCTCCTCGATTTTTGTACTACCATCTGGCAAAGTTTCAAGGCTCCAGCCCTTACGGTTTGGGCTGCACGATGCGTTTTACGGCAGAAGAAAAATAATAATAAAAATCCTTACAATTACAATAGGTTTTCAGCACTTCGTGCTTGAACACCTAATAATAATAATAAAAATCAGTACAAATACAATAGGTTTTCAGCACTTCGTGCTTGAACACCTAAAAAAGAGAGGAAAGTGAGACTCATTGTTTCACACAAAAAGACTTTAAGTGCTCATAGGACATTCAGAGTCTAAACTAGACTTTTGAAAGTCACTTGACACTGAATTGTACCAAACCCAGAGGGCTGGACTCCAGACCGTCTGTTTTAAGGCATTTCCCCGCTGGGATCACCATCAAGAGACGATAGGATGAGAAAAGAAACGAGTGATTAGAAGAAACAGAAATAGAGTTAGGAGTGCACAGGGAAGAGTAGAGGACCCAGTGGAACCTAGTGAGTTGTTTAAACAGTGAACATAGAGTGTTTGTGTGTGTGTGTGTGTGTGTGTGTGTGTGTGTGTGTGTGTGTGTGTGTGTGTGTGTGTGTGTGTGTGTGTGTGTGTGTGTGTGTGTGTGTGTGTGTGTGTGTGTGTGTGTGTGTTAATTTTAATCATCCATGATTATCTTTGCAACTCTCTTCGAGACATAAGCTCTGTTCCAAAACCTAACAAGCTTCATTGCTGTCTACAACCTACATAGGCTGCTTCTAAGAGAACATCATGGAATCTCAAAATCGACAAATTTTGAACACTATCCCTGCATTTGAATATGCCTACTTCCATACTATATGGGTGAAAAACAGTATGTGAGATGAGTAGTAGTTATGTCAAATTTTATAGTATAACATTAGGCGAAAAGTACCCAAATTACTTACTACTTCCAGCAAGATTCTGAAGTGCGCAACCGAAAGACACTTTACTTTGAAGCCACAGGAGAGAATTTGTGAATGACAGTGAAGCGACATAAATGACCCTGTAGGTCACATGACGTAGTACTTCCAAATTTAATTCAAACTACACACATTCATTCTATATAGAACTTAAGCGAAGTAAGTTTAAAACCAAAAGTAGAACCTAGTGTATTATATAGTAAGTGATTTTGGAAGCAGCTTATGTTGACATCAACTTCATGGGGTGCAAAAGTAGTGCTCTGCACTGACACTCAAATTGAAAATCTTAGAAAGCAGTCTACTTAAGTTGTCCATTTTTTTTTTTTTGAACAGCCTTTGCCATCTGTGGTGCCTTAAAATGCTGTTTTATAGGCAGCTTACTAGGATTTGGAACAGAACAATAAAACATGTTTCAGTACCAGAAAGAAATAGCAGTCAATGAGTCACATTAACTGTCTGATGAAATACTTATAATAAAAAGAAGGTGGTGTCAGAGCAGATAAAAAGCAAATGGTCTTACTCTCAATGATGTCACCCAGGCCCTGGGCATAGAGGAGGTCCTTCAGACGTCCCACCTCTTCTTTCAGTTCACGCACCAGACGGTTATTAGGATCTTCATTGATCACAGCATTACAACGGATCTGTTTAGCCCTGTCCGCATACCTGCATAACACACACAAATGTAAGTGAGTGACTGCGCTTTGGTCAAGAATTAATAAGTGGTAATATATATACAAAATTGTGCTTTAACAATGTTGCTTTTCTTTTGGCTATTACATTATATATATACATATATTCATACAGTATTATGAAGGAAAATTTTAAAGAGACATTCTACTCTATTGCGCACACATACACTTCTGATAGGTGCCCAATTACTCCTTTCAGCAGTGTTACTGCACACCAGCATCTTTGAAGGGCGTTCCAAGAGGGAGGCAGGTGTGTGGAGAGGGAACGGGAACATTCTCATTATGTAACATACTGCTATATCTGTCAGCTCATTAACTAACCTCAGACAGAGTGGAAAAAATGATCAAACTGGTGTTTTACTGAGGCAGAATACCTGAGAGTGCTGAGGGTTTCATCATAGTTGATGTCGGCTGGACTCAGAGCGGCCACCATTGCAGTGCGAGAGTTGCCACCTGTACGAGGTCAAAAGGTCAATTGTTTCAAGAGAGAGAATACATTATTATCCTGTTTCATGCGACAGAACATCTTTGATACATACCAAGGTTCTCTCTCAGTAGCCAGGTCAGTACCGAATCCCTATAAGGAATAAAATTTTCCACTTTCTTCTTCTTTTTGTTCTGTGAAGAAAATAATATATATTATAGTATATTATATATTATATTTAGGGCTGGGCAACGATTAATCGCATCCAAAAATAAAAGTTTGTGTTTACATAATATATGTGTGTGTAGTGTGTATAATTATTTTGTATATATGAATACACACACACACACATGCATTTAAGAAAAATGTGTTATTAATATATCAAATATTTATATTTATATATATAATATTAATTATGTATAAATATATATAAAGTATATACATGCAAATATTTCTTAAATATATACATGCATGTGTGTGTATTTATATAAACAAAACAATTATACACACTACACACACATATATTATGTAAACACAAACTTTTATTTTGGATGCGATTAATCGCTGCCCAGCCCTAATTATATTATATTATATTATATATTGTTAGAAAGTTTGGGGTTGGTAAAGATTTATTTGTTATATGTATTTGTTATTTTTGTAAAAATGAAGGATACGCTTATTTGATCAAAATAATATAATATACAAACAATAATATTGTGGAATATTATTACAAATATTATTATAAAATAACTGTTTTCTGTTTATTAAAATATAATTTATTTCTGTGATTTTCATTCAATTGAAATTTTATTTCAAGAATTTTCATTACTTAAGTCTTTAGTGTCACATGATCCTTCAGAAATTATTCTAATATGCTGATTTGATGCCGAGGAAACATGTCTTATCAATGTTGAAAACAGTTGTGCTGCTTAATATTTTTTGTCAAAATTTAAAATGTGATAAATTTTTTCTGAATTCCTTGAGAACAGAAAATTTAGAAAGAACATAACTTATTTGACACAGAAATAATTTGCATTATTGTAAATGTCTTTACTGTCACTTTTAATACATTTAATGTGCGTCCTGAATAAAATTATTAATAATAAAAAAAAAATCTTCCTGACCTCAAACTTTTGAATGGCAGTGTATAATAAATGACTGACAGATAGACAGACAATATTTGATTAACAGTGTTATACCTTGTTTAAGCCAGAATCCTGCAAAAAATAAGTGATAAAATACATTGCAGGTGATTAAACTGACACACATTGAACTTTTTATGTTGAAAATAACAAATCATCAAACATCCTCAAGGCTCAAAGCAAAACAAAACACTTACCACCTCAGCCAGAGCTGAAATGACTTTTCCCAGGGTAGTGAGTGATTTATTGATGTTTGCCCCTTCCTGGGATGCAAAGGGTAAGTAGAAAAAAAGAATTACAATTCCAAACTCAATGTATTGAAGATACTATTCTTCAATATACTAGATTCTGTTGAAGATAGAACGAAGAGAAGTCCTGTCAAAATGCTCTCAATGCACTGAGAGTAGGAAGTATGTGAAGAGAATTAGAGAATTAGACACACAAGGGCTTTTCACACTATAGCTAACCCTCGGGTATAGGAACATTTCTCGCTTGTAATTTAGTCTTTTTTTTTACCCAGAATTATGAAACCCTGCTCCAGAGAAGGGTTACTGTTGGGGTTTCTGGTTAAGTTTTTGCTGTGCTAACCCAGCATACAGTACAGAGCGAAGCGGTGTTAGAATGATAAGTGTCACGGTAGACACATTCTCTGTCCCTTCTAGTCTCGTGTTTATGTTGTTGTATGAGTGCACGTGTGTAGTGGGCGTGAGTGTATGTCATTACCTAATCCACTCCAGCTGATCATCATTACATCACCAGCTGCAGACACTCTCACCACGCTTTATATGCTCACCGTTGTGTTCTCATCTTTGTCAGATCGTTGTTTGATGTCGTCGGTGTTGGTGTTTCTAGTCTTCGTGTTCCTGCCCAGTGTTCCCGTTGTTCGTCATTCTGGATTTCGTCACCTTGTGGATTGTCTTCTCACCATCGTCTCATCACGGCACTTTCACTAGTCTGACCATTGAAGTCCCTGCGCCACCCACTACCATCGGCTTGTACTGTTCCAGTTTGTTTGTGACATTTACTTCCTTATTAAAAGAGTCAACTCGCGTTTGCTTCCTGTTGTCATTTGGATCATTATGACAGAACGATCTGACCAAGGAATGGAAGCAGCGAGCGCGCCTTCGCCTACTCTGGAGGAGTTCGTTCATCACAGCATTCAGAGAATGAATACACAGGAAAGGGAGATCGGCGACACGGGTCGCGCAGTACAAGCATTGGTGGCGCAGGTGTCCGAGCTCACCCAGCAGATCCAACGCCTACGTGCTCCCGCTGCGCCACCCGCACCAGCCGTTCCCCCCACACCACCAGAGAACCCCTCCCAGTCGGAGCCACGCCTACCCATCCCGGAAGCCTACTCTGGAGAACCGGCTCATTGCAGAGCGTTTTTGACCCGCTGCACCATGCACTTTGCATTGCAACCTCGCACTTTCAACACTGAAGCAGCAAAGGTAGCCTTTGTTTTGACTTTACTGACTGGGAAGGCGGCACTATGGGGAACGGCGGTGTGGGAGAACCAACATCCGTGCTGTGCCTCGTTCCTGACACTCTCCGCCGAGATGAAGCAAGTGTTCGACCGGGCCATGTCGGGAAGAGAGGCAGCCAGAGCCCTGGCTGAGTTACGGCAAGGTGAGAGATCTGTTTCCGATTTCTCTATTGAATTCCGGACCTTGGCGGCGGAGTGTGGATGGAACGAGGAGGCGCAGTGGGACATGTTCCTGCATGGGTTGGCTGACCGCGTCCAAAAGGAGATCTACGCCCTGGATCTTCCCACCACACTCAACGAACTGATCGACCTCGCGCTGCGGGTGGACGCTCGGTTGTCAAGGGTCGAGCGCCGGGCTCCGTCCACTCGCGCGCTCGTAGGATTCGAGGGTCCACGATCCAGCGGCAGGGACGTGGTCAGCCCAGTTTTCGATCATGAACCCATGCAGGTAGGTCGAGCTCGGCTTTCCCGGGAGGAGAAGGAGAGGCGGAGGTCCCAGGGCCTTTGCCTATATTGTGGAGGAGCGGGACATTTTGCTTATAACTGTCCAGTAAAAGGCCAAGCCCGATAGTAAATCTGAGGCTACTATCGGGTGGGATCTCCGCCAGGAAGCCCTCACCTACGTCTACATCTACCTCCACGCTCCTTCCGGTAAGACTAAGATGGTCAGGCCACCAGCACGACTGTAAAGCACTTCTGGACTCGGGGGCGGAAGGTAATTTTATGGATCACTCTTTTGCACAGAAATTCCTGATTCCACTCAAACCCCTCACACACAGAATCGCGGTCCATGCACTAAATGGCCAGGAACTCCCCACCATATCCTTTTCCACAGAAGATATTACCCTCATCACTTCCGGCAACCACTCCGAAACTATTTCTTTTTACATACTGGACTCACCCCTGGCACCCGTCGTCCTTGGTCACCCTTGGCTCATCCGACACAACCCCCGAGTGGACTGGCATCATAAGACTGTGCTGGAGTGGAGCAAGGAATGTCATAAGTCTTGTCTTGTGTCTGCCTGTTCGTCTGTGCCTGTTTCTCTGTTTCAGGAGGAGACTGGGGATTTGTCTTACGTGCCCGCAGAGTACCTGGACCTGAAGGAGGTGTTCAGTAAGTCTCGAGCTGCTTCTCTTCTTCCGCATCGTCCCTATGACTGTGCTATAGATTTACTGCCAGGTAAGTCTCCGCCTAAAGGCAAGTTGTATTCTCTTTCTATTCCTGAGAGAGAGGCTATGGAGAAATATATTTCTGATTCTCTAGCAACCAAGTTCATCCGCCCTTCCTCTTCTCCGGCGGGGGCGGGGTTCTTTTTTGTGGGGAAAAAGGATGGTTCTCTGCGACCTTGCATTGATTACCGAGGGCTGAACAACATCACGGTAAAGAATACTTATCCTTTGCCGTTGATGTCTTCAGCTTTCGAGAGGTTACAGGGAGCATCCATCTTCACAAAATTGGATTTGCGTAATGCTTATCATTTGGTCCGCATCAGGGAGGGGGATGAGTGGAAAACTGCGTTTAACACCCCCAGGGGGCATTTTGAATACTTGGTCATGCCGTTTGGGCTGTCCAACGCCCCAGCAGTTTTCCAGGCACTGGTCAATGACGTGTTGCGAGATATGATCGATCAGTTCATATATGTCTACCTGGACGACATATTGATTTTTTCTTCTTCTCTACAGGAACATGTGCAACACGTCCGACGAGTGCTTCAGAGGTTGCTAGAGAATGGGCTTTTTGTCAAGGCGGAGAAATGCGATTTTCATGCACAGTCTGTTCCTTTCTTAGGGTACATCGTCTCGTCTGAGGGAATGCGGATGGATCCTGAAAAGATTAAGGCTGTGGTGGATTGGCCAAGTCCAGATTCCCGTAAGGCCCTGCAGAGGTTTCTGGGGTTTGCCAATTTTTACCGGCGTTTTATTCGCAACTTCAGCCAACTAGTCGCGCCTCTGACTGCCTTGACCTCCCCCAGAACTACGTTCAGGTGGTCAGACACAGCTGAGGCGGTGTTTGCCAAACTTAAAGACCGCTTTGTTTCGGCCCCCATCCTCGTTACCCCTGATTCTTCACGTCAGTTCGTGGTGGAGGTCGAATCGAGGGTCGAGAAGGCCTTAGAAGGGGTAACGCCTCCGCCCGGTTGCCCACCGAATCGTTTATTCGTACCGGAGGGATTACGGCTCCAACGTGGCTTGCCATCCAGGAGTTAATCGTACTAGTTATTTAGTCAAGCAACGGTTCTGGTGGCCACTTATGGCTCGTGACATTCACGATTTTGTTTTGGCTTGCTCGGTCTGTGCCACTGGTAAGACTTCCAATCGACCCCCAGATGGGTTACTTCAGCCGCTGCCGGTTCCTTCGAGACCCTGGTCCCATATCGCTCTAGATTTTATTACCGCCCTCCCACCCTCCCAGGGTAACACAGTAGTTTTGACTGTGGTGGACCGATTCTCGAAGGCAGCCCATTTTATTCCCTTGCCCAAATTACCCTCAGCCAAGGAGACAGCGGTGACGGTCGTTGATCACGTCTTTCGGTTACATGGCCTCCCGAGAGACGTGGTTTCTGACAGGGGACCCCAGTTTGTGTCCAAATTTTGGCAAGAGTTTTGTAGGTTACTGGGGGCGACAGTTAGTCTGTCCTCTGGGTTTCATCCCCAGAGCAATGGCCAGACCGAGAGAGCCAACCAAGATTTGGAGAGGGTGTTGCGATGTTTGGTCTCCAAGAATCCTTCCTCTTGGAGTCAACAACTGTCTATGGTGGAGTACGCACACAACTAGGGGTGGGGGAAAAAATCGATTCTTAGATGCATCGCGATGCGGACGTGGACGATTCTGAATCGATTCACAATTGTCAAAAATCGATTTTCAAAAAAAAAAATTTTTTTTTTAGATATATATTTATAATAACGTAATATTGACGGAACGCGAAAGACGGAACTCTGAAGCGCGGAAGTGCAGTGGCCGGACCGTCTGTGGCGTGCACATAACAGACGCGGACGCGATGGCTGAGCGCCAAATCCAAACACCCTCCTCGTTAAAAGCTGACGTGTGGAAATATTTTGGCTTCTGAAGTTGAAGGGGGAAAGGAGCTGGACAAGAGCCACACTAGTTGTAAGCTTTGTAGAGTAAAACTAAAATATTTCGGAAACAAGACACATGAAGCCAAATGACACGTTTCCAGCCAGAGGAGGAAAAACACTCGGCTGTAACGTTACCGGTCGTTGTTATATTATTAATTTACAACAAATATGCTGCTGCTAGTTCAGACACACATGTATTTTCCTGTTGGTTCTTTGCAATGTTAATAAAATATATTGTACGTTAATTCTTTATGGGTCATTACTTTGTACTTTTAAAGCAAAGTATTTATAGTCACACACACACAAAAAAAAGATTCTGATAATCGATTTAGCATCGAATCGCAGCCCTCTGAATCGTAATCGAATCGAATCGTGAGGTGCCTAGAGATTCCCACCCCTACACACAACACGTTGCCAGTGTCAGCCATGGGCCTATCTCCGTTTGAGTGTAGCGTAGGTTACCAGCCACCTATTTTTCCCAGTCTGGAATCCGAGGTTGCGGTCCCCTCCGCTCACGCCTTCGTCCAGAGGTGTCACCGCACTTGGACTAGAGCCCGGGAGACTCTACTCCAAGTGGGGGCGCGCACCAAGGCCAAGGCCGATCGCCACAGGTCAAAGCCTCCCGTATACGTCGTTGGTCAAAAAGTGTGGCTTTCAACCAGGAATATTCCACTCCGCACCGTCTCTAATAAGCTTGCACCCAAATTTATTGGCCCATTTCCTGTCACCAAGATCATTAGTCCGGTGGCAGTCCGCCTCAAGTTACCTACTGCGTACAGGAGGGTCCATTCCGTCTTTCATGTTTCAAAGATTAAACCCGTGTTTCATTCTCACATTAATCCGCCTGCCCCGGTTCCTCCCCCACCGCGACTCGTAGATGGGGAGACCACATATTCGGTTAACCGAATTCTGGACTCTAGGCGGAGGGGACGCGGATTTCAGTACTTGGTGGACTGGGAAGGTTACGGTCCGGAGGAGAGAAGTTGGGTACCTGCCAGAGACATCCTGGATCACTCCCTTATTGATGATTACAATCGACAGGTAAAGGAGTCTGGGAGCGCCAGGAGGCGTTCTTAGGAGGAGGGGTACTGTCACGGTAGACACATTCTCTGTCCCTTCTAGTCTCGTGTTTATGTTGTTGTATGAGTGCACGTGTGTAGTGGGCGTGAGTGTATGTCATTACCTAATCCACTCCAGCTGATCATCATTACATCACCAGCTGCAGACACTCTCACCACGCTTTATATGCTCACCGTTGTGTTCTCATCTTTGTCAGATCGTTGTTTGATGTCGTCGGTGTTGGTGTTTCTAGTCTTCGTGTTCCTGCCCAGTGTTCCCGTTGTTCGTCGTTCTGGATTTCGTCACCTTGTGGATTGTCTTCTCACCATCGTCTCATCACGGCACTTTCACTAGTCTGACCATCGAAGTCCCTGCGCCACCCACTACCATCGGCTTGTACTGTTCCAGTTTGTTTGTGACATTTACTTCCTTATTAAAAGAGTCAACTCGCGTTTGCTTCCTGTTGTCATTTGGATCATTATGACAATAAGGGCCAGACAACCGTGTCCCTCAAATTCACATGCTTTGGACAGTCACAGAAACACTGAGTGTTGTATCTGAGTGTTCGCTGTCATTTCAGGGTTCGAGGGGAAAAAGTCAAATAGTAATGGAAACCGTGATGTGAAATACTGTAGAGACCTTTTAATTCTTACCTTTATAGTCTAAAATGTCAATTCAGGAAAAAATATATGACAGTCAGCATTTATGTAGTATATAATATATAATACGAGGATATGCAATCAATGCTAGAACTTTATGTAAACAGGTCGCATACAGACACCGCAAATATGCACAAAAGGACATTAATCCATAGTCTAGGAATCTACAGTTTGTAACTTCAGTGTATGAATACCAAGAAATATTTGTTAAATGAAATAAATTAAATTAATCTGGGTAAATTATGAGCAACGTGAAACCAAAACGTGAAGCAAGATAACCCAGATTCGTTTAACCGGGGGTTTACAAATGACCCAGGGGCCAAGGCTAACTATTTCAAGTGAGAAAAGCCATACAGAGTGGGTACAATAATGTGGAAGATCACAGGCCCTGTTTACACCTGGAATTAAGATGAGTTTTGTTTGATCGGACGGACGAGAGAGACAAAAGAAAAGAAAAGACACATTTCCTGGTGTTTTAATCCGTCTCTTTTGTCCACTTCTGTCCTGATTTCTTTGAGGGGAGGGTCTATGGGTGGGTAAATGTATGGGCTTTTTCAGATCTTTCGATTTAATGGATGAAGTAAGCTCGCGCAATTTACAAATGAGCACAAAAGTAGACAACGGAAAACATACGGAGAGCAGCCACTTTTGCTTCTGCTCTGACAGCCATTACAAATCAGAAATGGTGAGAGAACATTGAGCCTGGTACGTTTATCAAACAAAACTTGGGTCTTTAGTCGACAAAGTTTAAATCCCTATCTGGGTAGTGCCCTTTCTGTAATGTTTACGCATTAGGTCAGTAGGCGGAGAGCAGGCGGTCTTTTGTGGCTGTTCGAACGCATTCAACCACATGAGCGTCTTCACTACGAAAGCAATCCGGTCGAATGCGTTTTCGACTACCTCTGGAAGTGGTCGAAAGTGGACAAGCTCAAAACGTTTTAGAGCCCATTTACACCAATCGACCAAAATTCATCTTAATACCAGTAAACAGGGCCACAGAGATACTGAGGGAGTTAGAGAGCATGAAAGAACAATAGATAATGGGAAGTGAATTTGGACAGCTAAAAAAACAAAAAAAAACACTCACCTTGAGCCGTGTGCCTTTGGCTCCAGTGGAGTCTGCTCTCTCACTGCCCGCTAAATCCACCAGACTGATTTTGCTGACCTAACAGAGAGGTTCAGAAGAGGTCAATAATGAACATGCTGAGCTCATATCACCTTTCACTCACATCATCCATAGAGAAAAAAAAGTCACAATGTCAAAAGTCATCCAATACAGCCCTGATGTGCAAGGATGAGAAACAAGTGGCCGATCCTCACGCTCTAAATTGAGCAGTTTATTATGATTGACAGGGTCTGTAACATGCAAGAGCAGCACGTACCTTTTCTGAAGTGTTATCTGTTTCCGAGTCATGCCGCTTCTGGGTGAAGATGATGTTGAAGACAGCGTGAGAACGGCTACTGGTCTCATTCATGTTAGTGGCAGCTACTGTCCTGGATAACAGAATTTCCCCATTCAGAAATTTCATTCAGTGCTCAGATTATAATTCATTTGAAGTATTACTGTGGATTTAGATTTCTCACAAGTCTACATATCATAATCTCAAAGCATTTGCACTAACTTCTGCCTTTGGGAATCATCTGGTCCTGAACTAAAATGTAATGATCATCAAAATGTTTCCCTGAAGTATTCAGATCCATTCTCTAATGTACAATATCATTCAAAAGTTTGGGGTCAGTTAGATGTAAAAAAAACAAACAAACATTTTTTATACTTTTATTCTGTAAAGATGCATTTAATTGATCAAAACTGACAGTAAAAACTGTTATGAAACAGTATTCTTTCTATTCATCAAATAATTCTGAAGAAATATAAATCACAATTTCCAAAAATAATACTAAGTTGAACAAATATTTTCTACATTGATAATAACAATAAGAAATGTTCAGCATATTGCTTTCTGAAGTATGAGACACTGAAAACTGGAGTATGACTGCTGCAAATTCAGCTTTGCCTTTACAGGAATTAATTACTTTTTAAAACAATAGTACAATAGAAAAGAGTTATTTTAAATTGTAATAATATTTCACAATATTACAGTTTTTTACTGTATTTTGGATCAAATAAATGTGGTCTTGGTGAGCATAAGACATTTATCTCAACATTTAAAAATATTACAGACACCAAACTTTTGAAATGGTAGTGCTTATTCATCAGCTAAAATTCAATTCCGATAGATCTCAGATGACACAGTAACTTAAAATGTTGCGCTGGAGAAAAAAAAAGGTGCAAACTTTAGACCTCCTAATTATGTATTGCACTCAATTAGCTCCTGTCTGTTGTGCCAAACCATCAACTTACATAACAGGCTAAATGTATCATGTAGGAGGAAGGTGTAATGTATTGGCAGGGATGTATCTCAACACCTTGAGATTAAAGAACTGTTGAGTGACACTAAGCTGAGGAAACAGGAATGTACAAACATAATGCCTCCTGGAATTAAAAGATCCATTTGTTTCCATGGCATTATGATGATAAGCATGAATGATAAGTAAATATTTCTTTTCCTCTCAATGTGGACCATGAAGACCTTGAAAAACAAATGTGACCAGGACTGTACAATAAGTGAGACCACAGGTCTGTGCAGCAAAAACAATCACATGTTATTTCTGGAATAAAAAAGAAAAGAAAAGCGTATAGAATGTAAATGCTTTCACATTGTGTTAGAATTACTGTAATTACAAGAGTCTGAGATTCTACTTTGAACTGTTTACAGTATGTACTCAGACTCCGGAATGATTTGCTACTATGGCAACACTCAAAATCCAAAAGCCAAAATCCATGTGCGGCTTTGTTTTAAATGACAGCATAATAATAGAATGAATACATTAATTTGCTTCTATATACTCTTAGAAAACTTTAAAAACAAAGAAAAGGCACCAGGTAACACTGGCTATAATGAAATGGCTTCTTAAATGAAAAATATGGTATCAGGTTCCTGGTTATCTTTCGTTGCTAATTTTAGTTTCATGACAATCAAATGAGAGCATTTGGAACTTTCATAACATTCCAGAGTTTTTAATTATGTGCTCAATAAACACAATACTATTCAAGATTTTTATGTTTTTGAAAGAAGTCTCTTATGTTGTTTTCTTTGGCTGTTGTGTTACTGTTTTCTATTTTAATACATTTTTAATATTTTAAAATGTAATTTATTCCTGTAATGGCAAATATTAATTTTCAGCAGCCATTACTCAGTGTCACATGATCCTTCAGAAAATCTAATATGCTGATGCAGTGCTCAAGAAAAATTTCTTATAATGTAAAAGTTAAAAACAGTTGTACTGCTTAATTTTTTTTTTTGTGTGGAAACTGTGATAAAAAACTGAAATCTTTGAGTTAGAAACAATAGAATTTGTAACATAAATGTTTTTGCAGTCAGTTTTGATCAGTTTAAAGAATTACTACCCTTTTAAAGTTTTTACTAGTTTGAAAATTGTAATTACAGTAATACAGACATGACATGAACACTCCATTAGAATAGAATGGAATGGAATGGAATGGAATGGAATAGAATAGAATAGAACAGAATACCTAGCCTTATTCCCTGAGTCCATCAGGTCTTGAATGTCATTATATGATGTGACAGCGAGTTTGGACAGATCTTCTACATATGGGCCCAGTAATGGGTGCTCTCGCACACGCAGATTTCCTTTGTTTTTGGGGTTCAGAAGATCTCGTACCCTCTCGCAATAAATCTCCATATAACTAACCTGGAAAGACAAAAATAAAAGCCCGTTTAAAAGCACAAACACCATATAAATGAGAATTGAAACAAAAATCACAAACAGAATTTACAATAAAAAGAGTGTTAATGAGATGCTACAAAGATTTGGAACCAAACAGAAGAATAGAAAACAGGGTTTGACCCAATCTTACCTCCACAGAATAGGACATGTTGTTATCAGTATTGTTGTCATTAAACTTGGTGAAAAGGTCCTCGCACAGCTGACGGTTAGTATGAAGGAGAAAAGGGGAAAGAGACAGACATAATAAAGAGAGATTAGTTAGTGAATAATCCTTTTTTTTACTATGTGTACTGGTCAGCTTGGTGTTTGACTTGTCGTTTAATTCTGTTTGAACTGATCTTGTTCACACTGCCTCTGAATGCATTATCATTTTCCTGTTTATACAGTAGTGCCAGTACGGAGAGACAATATGTGCTTTAGATACACAAAAAGGCCACTCAAGTAGCTAATAATTGTATAAAAGTGCTGAAACTGATATTTGGAAACGATTATTCCTCTTCATATTTGCTTGTACATGCATCTTTTTTTTACCAGTGGAATGATCCCCTGCTGGTCCTTCTCCTGTTTGCCCATCATGGTATAGGATTTACCGGCACCGGTCTGACCGTATGCAAAAATACAGACATTGTAGCCCTCAAAGGCATGAAGTAACATCTCCTCTCCAATGTCTCTGTACACCTGCTGCTGGGAGGCAAAGTTGATATCTTCTGGCTGTGGATAGATGAAGAAAAATACAAGTCTTTGACATTTGGAAGACTGACTTTAAAAGCAAAATAGCTCTGTTTTGTGCATTTCACTGCAAAGTTTTTAACTAGTTCTGGCTCACCGAGGTATGTGACCAGTAGGAGTAATCGAAATTGAAGCTTTTGTTTTCTTTGGGTGCTTTGGGGTTGATGATGGCTGAAAGACAAGGAAAAGATGGCAGAGAATAAGTAAGGTTAATAAAACATGCTAGAGATCCTGAGTGGACACCCAATACTCTGCTGTCAGCCACTAAATGGCCGCCACACAGTGGCAGAAAGTGCTGAGTCACTGTAGTTTAGTTTAAACGAGTCCACACGGATGTGCTCTTAAACCCTGCTTCTCCCACCAGCAGTAACTGAAAGTCATCACAGAGAGGCAAGAATCACAAATTAGTAATTATGTTCGTCTAAATATGGTAATGGTTGTAAATGAAAATGACCTACTATGTAGGCGTCTTTATGGGAAGACTTGAGTCATTTGAAGTGACATTGTAAATGCTACGTAGTGCATAAACCATATACTCTAACATTCAAAAGTTGGAGATTGGTAAGTTTTTTTTTTATGTTTTTGAATTAATTCTCATACGTCACTTTGTAAAGAAACACTGCACACCTACAGACTGAACACGTACTACGCATGCGGCCATGGGCCACCGTTTTCCCAAATTCACGTTTTTGTACAGTAGTTTACACAATAACGGTATCGTTTTCAAAAATGTTTCAGAAACAGTTTGCATTTTCAGGCCCCCAAAACGCTGTTGTCGTGTAAATGAGTGGCCAAAACGCATAAAAAGTTTTACCTTTTTAGTTGAAACCTATGCTTAGTGTATGCCTAATATGCTGTATAAATTTAAATCTGTAATTCAAAACCTGGCAATTATTTTAAACAATTTAAAACGTTAAACCGGTTATGATGTAAAATTGATTATTTTACATTTACATATTTACATTTACTATTTCGCTCAAAAACTCACATGTTCTTTCTTCTACCAAAGCACAAAATGTTCATTGGAGCGTCTTAAATCATGCTGGACAACATGATCATCACAAACTTCCGAAGCACAAGTGCCGCTAACTTTAGGAAGATAGGAAATAATACTAATAATGTCAGAAAATGATATGCAATTTAAAGTCCACCATATATGGACTGACCTGTGAAGAGTTTTTGTGTATAAGAAAGAGCGAGAGACCAAGAGGAAAAGATAAAGAGCTAGAAAGAATTACACCAAGTCTCTACAATCTAAGGTCAGTATTCAGACCTTACTGTGTTACCCAGCCATAAAAAAACTTCCCGACTTCATATTTCATATAATCCTTGAGTGAGATACAAGAAAAAACTGGTTTAGTTTGCCGTCCTTGATGGAGGTCTCAAGCATGAGACTCAACTCAGGCTCTAAATATTCCGGACAACTCCATCGATAATAAATAATACATTCAAATGAATAAAATAAAGGTGAAGATGGCGTGGTGGACACATGCTGAAAGAACTGTCATAGGAATAAGGCAAGGGGCCTTTAAAAATTTTAAATACTGTGTTATGATTGACAGGATTAAATGAACTTGCTCCTCTTGAACTTTCCTTTAGAAGCCCAATTTGCCAACAGACAGGTTTCTTTGCACAGATAAATTAATACTTTTCACTTGAGAAAACTAGCACTATCCCACTAAAAATGTGTATGAAATGAATGCACAACCATATTACAAGAGAAGCGCATCGCCAGAAACACTGAGTGCATCATGGAGGAAACATCATTTAAATGGACTCTGCTTGTCTAGCAACATAAAGGATAACTGTGTAATTTCAAACACGTCACATCACTGAAATCATGTACCTGCATTTCAACTGTCCTGCACGCTTAGCATCTCAGAACATGATTAACGGAACGGTCTTGCGTCAGTCTTACTCACAGCCAACCCACACGTCATCACAGGCGCTACAGTCAGGAGTCTGACAGGCAGCATGAGGAGAACATACTGTTTCTGGTCTGAAATACATCTCAGCGGCCATATGGTGGGATGTGCAAGACCAAATAACAAAACCACATAAAAAAATTGCCTTTTTAGTAGACTGTATTAAATATACTTAATCATCCATGAATCAAAAAGGCACAATAACCATGAAAAGGACATTTCAAGTACACATATTTTCAGTACATGGTTGATCAACCTTTACTGGACTGAGAAATTGAATTTAGTCAGTGATGAGGAAAACTTTTCTCAACACACACATACACACACTGGTATTTCCCCATGTATAAAACTTCAAAATTCAATTAAAATGTATTTGTATAGCGCTTTTCACAATACATATGGTTTCAAAGCAGCTTTACAGAAACTAACACAGTCAACAAAAAGGCAACAAGATAAATGTGATCCACAAGAAGTGTTCTGACCTAAAAAAAAAAAAAAAAGGCGATCCAAGAATGACCTTCAGAGAGTCAATAGGTTGAAAAGGATTCTCTGCATTAAGCAAACTCTAATCTTGGTTCTCCAGGGATGCTGGAGACTCAACAGATAGAACGCATTTGATTAGTTCATCATTGAAGTATACATTTTATTTTCTATACAATCCAATATGACCTAGATAAGGACATGGTTTAAAGTGAACATAATGAAAGCTCACATGCCTCATTTATAAAATGTTGCGTAGAAACCATCCTAAATTACGATCATTTCTCCAATGCGTGTAGGCCTACGTGTGATTCAGAGCGTACACCTCTCTTCCAGATATGAAATTTAGAAATTTCCAATGATCTTGAAACTGTGCACAGCTGAATGGTTTCAGATCTCCACCTTGTAAAAGTGCCCCAATTAAAAGTCATTCATATATAAAAGAGCACCAGTCAACATCCAAATGCTTGAGAATTGTGAGCGACAAAAATTGCATTGATTTTCAAATACCTGCCGTTTCCAAAAAAAGAGTGCGTAGCCTACGTCTGCTTAGACCCCGACGTGGCGCTAAGCACTTAAGCACGTCAAAGACCGTTTTTATACATTTGAATGTTGGCGTAGATTTTAGTTTTAGATTTTTAAGTTTAAATCTATACATAAGCATGTTTTATAAATGAGGCCCCAAATTCCTACACTAGTTAAAAATACTACAATTCTCTTTTTTTTTGTGTGTGTGTGGGACATCGCTGCAGCATCAACTGCAAATGTGACCTTATTAATGATCCCTTTAATCAGCTTTAAAGTTGTTAAATGATTAGTTCACCCAAAAATGACAATTGTCAATCACTCACCCTCATGGCATTACAAATTAAACACATCCTCTGACATTATTCTATGTAGGCTATTTACACTGAATGGGAGAGTCAGTATTGTTATTGTAAACAAAATTCTAACTATTAAAATAATTTTTGTTAACTGAAACTGAGCTTCAAAAAGGACACAAAAACACCATTAATGTATAAATATATAATATTTTTTTTCTAGCTGTAATGTGCTTTATTCCAACTTTTGAAAAGTTCTTTTGAGAATGAACGGTTTCATCAAGCTCACAAAACTGAATGATTCCTTCGTGAATTGACCTGATCCTGTCACGGTTCTGAGTAAGAGGACCCAGACGCAGCATGAGAGAGGGGGGGGGGGGGGGGGATTTATTAATAACAGAAGACATAACACAAGATTGGTGAAGCGAGAACAGTCCAAACAATGGGGCAGGGCAAACAACAGGAGCTCAAGATGCTTATACGGCAACAATGGAGACAAGGCAGCGGCTCAAGGAACCAGAGGCTTGGTTAACCGCTGAAACCCCAGACTGTCTGCCAGGTCAGGAGAGTCAGCGACCAGGAAGGACACATGAAGCAGGGCAGGGCAGGGACCAACACGAGTCACACACACACACACACACACACACACACACACACACACACACACACACACACACACACACACACACACACACACACACACACACAGAACAAGACTTAACAAAACAAGACAACAAGAGATGGCAAAAAAATTCAAACAAGATCAAAATAAAAAGTGACAAGAACTATAACTAGAGAAAACAAAATAAAGAAACTAAAATATAACTGGAGCAATAGTAATAAACAATAGTAATAAACAAGAAATCTAGAAATAAATAACTGGAACGGCAAACAAAGGAAATCAAAACAAGACTGCAACCTTGCAGGGAACTAGGTTGTAAAAATAAATAAAAGGCAAGCAAAAAATAAAGACTTGAACTTGACTTGAACTTGAAGAAAAACTAGAATTATCAAAAGGAAATAAACACAAGACTGGCAGGAAAAGACTAAAGTAGCAGTGTCTAACAAGGCCCGTAGACTAACGTGCACACAAGAGAAGTACTGTACGCACACAATTCACACAACAAAACAGCAAAGACATGAGGGAAAATAACACAATAAATATGGAGCAGAGCACATGAGGATCAGATGAAGACAATCAGACCAATGAGGACTAAACAAGAGCTGTGTACCAAATCACCCCATAAACCCTCATTCACTATTCCCTACATTACTCCACTAATATTGTCCACTTGAAAGAGTAAATGAAAACGAGAGAGCGAACCACTGAGGCTGCGTTTGAGTCCAATTTGTTATGCCCTTCCTTCCGTCTCGTTCACTTGGATGTATGCTATTGCTTACGTTGCACGAGTGTTTACTACTGGCGGAACCCTTGCAATGTATTTAAATGGAACCCTTGATCACTTGGAATATGCTATTGAGCTGATTTTTTATAATATATATTTTCCCTTATAAAATTGCTTACACACCATTCTATAGGCCTGTATGTATGCTTGACCTGTTAAAAATTATATAAACAAATATTTAATATTGATATTTTAATATATTAATATTAAATATTAAAAAAATACACAAACGAAAAATGAGAACAATGCAAAAAACTGTAACTGTGTAAAAAAACAGTCAGCTTAAGGTAGCTACAAGAATTACAGTAAATGCGGTAAAATGTAAAAATTGCTAAATTAAGCACGATCTGTGAAGTCACAATCATGGTACATTGTGGTCTGTGGTTCTGCCTGACGTGTACATATTTAGTAGACTCGCTCCCAAAATCAAGGGGTCGATTGTCTGTCCAAATAAACTTCCCTCGTCGGATTCAGTTATGGGCACCATCTTCATTCGTTCAGCACGCACCTTACAGTGCATTATGGGTATTCTCCAGCAG